TCCGTTGGCGATATCCTCGAACTATGATTACTTCTGGTGGACTTGGCACAATGGGATACGGTCTTCCCGCAGCTATCGGAGCCAAAGTTGCTAGTCCTGATAAAATTGTTGTTGACATTGATGGGGATGCTAGCTTTTGTATGACAGGAATGGAATTGGCTACAGCCGCTCAATATAATATTGGGGTGAAGGTGTTGGTATTGGATAATTGTTTCCAGGGAATGGTTAAACAGTGGCAAGATTTGTTTTATGAAGAGCGATACAGTCAAACAGAAATGGCCAATCCTGATTTTGTCAAATTTGCAGAGGTAAGAATGTGATTCCGTGCGTTTCCGTGCATTTCTCTGTTTGATTTGTTTACTTATTAAGCTAATATTCAACCCTTTTCAGGCAATGGGCGTCAAAGCACTCAGGATCCATAATGAGCAAGAATTGCCGGAGAAAATGAAAGAATTTTTGGAATATAATGATGGTCCTATTGTTTGTAATGTTGTTATAGAAAAACACGAACATGTGTATCCAATGGTGCCTGCTGGCAAAGCTCTCCATGAATTTATTGTACATCCTGATCTCGATAATTAACATGAGAGCTTGTCTAAAGAGCCGTTTACTTCCAAAGATAATTGTATTTAAGATGTATAGACATTGATTTATTAATCAGTTTCATGTACATTCATTTATATATATTAACTAGATAGGTTGTTTAAGTTGTGCTTCGCACGTGATGTGAAGATGAAGAGCCGCAGGAAATTTCATAATAAAATTGAGTATTAGTATGGTATCATATTGATGAGCATTTTGAGCAGATGACAGAGTTGTAATGCAATTTTATTCATTTGAGGAGGAATAGCGTTAACATTAATATGTTGGAGATTAATATACCTTCTTATACAAAGGTACTATATACGTTTTATTTTATCAATACCTTTTCAATCATTTTTGAATGTTTCTTTACATTCAATTCGTATTGTTAGGGTAATTATAAAGAAAAAAACCGATTTACAAATGCATGAAATAATATTCCTATTCCTATTGCTATTCTATTCTCGTTTACACATCATCATCTCTTGATCATAATCAGCAATTGAGTCATTTGGTTATTTTCTATCAAAGAGTGAAAGGTGTCAGATTGAGTCTCGTGGAAGCAAGGTCGGAGATTTTCTTAATTTGCCGTTTTAGCAACATACCTTGCTGAGAAGTGGTGTGTCATTAGAGACATCATTGGTAGAAGCAGTCCTTACTGCAATTTGTTTCCGTTTAGTTCCGGTGTTTGGCGATGACGTTTCGGTAACGTCAGTCACATTGATAGCAGCGGTCGTAGTAGAAGATGATGAGGAATTGATGGCGGTAGTGGTAGTGGTGGTGAGCTCGTTTATAATCATGCGTCGTTTTGATGGCAATGTTGTTGGTGAGTGAGTATCGGACATGTCGGAGGGGAGGGAGAGGTCTGACGGGAGAATATATTCGAGGTTATTGATTTCTATTAGTAGGCACCCATTTGCGGCGTCAAAGTCGCCAAACAGAAACACTCTCGACCCACGACGCAGTTTTTTCGTTCTTGTATGTAGGTGCGTCCGGCAGATTTCGTGATGACAGACGAGTTCGAAGTCTGCGGTTTTGCTGTCATTCGATTTCCCCCCAGTGTATTGTGATGTGGCTAGATGGAAGTATAGGCGGTCGTTTTTTCTGTCGGTGGCAATTTCACTATGCCACACGTTTGTACTGTGGTGCGGGACGAGCGGGCCTCGGTGGTTTCCATCACATGCAGCCGATAGGCTGTTATCTAATAATGACTGGAGTATCGGTGGTAATTAGTGCCCAAACATCCGTGTTAAGAATATCTGGATGCTCATCACATAACTAGTGGAAATAATACATAATAATAATTCAATAATTATTTAAACTATTATGACACATAAGTAAATAGTTTGCCTCGGCATAATATAAATCATGTGTCTCGTCTGTTATCTCAAGTGGAATCAATTTAATGCCTGTATAAGTAGGTAGACCATACAAGTATCCACTTTCATCCCCATAATCATCAATACAATCTCGTGGAATCCATTCCAAATAGGCGTCATTTGGTGAGTTTGTTTGTAGTTGAGATTTCTTAATA